GCCGGTAGGCTACTGCAGTGCATGTCATAGCAACTGGTCATTCCGGTCATTCTGTTGTTATGGTTGTTTGGCTTTTGTATATATAGATTGAAATTAAGTCTAATGAATTTATCAAGTCATGTTCATGCCCTGATTTTATATACTTTCATCTCTCACTAAGTACTGCGATACTTGAAAGAAAAGTGGGCGGGTGTTCTGGCCTGGGTACAGCAGATGCAGATGCTCAAATCCCCACTAGGGGAGGCTGTGGAGCAGACAGTAGCTGGAAGCCAAGCCTGGCCCAAACCTGTCCACTTCTCTCCCCTTCGCTTACTCAACAACTCCCCCACCACCAATTACCCTCTCCCCTCTCCAACCCCCACTGACTCCATCCAACACATGGCCCTGGCCAGGTGGGAGTCAGCACCCCCAACATAAGGGGGAAGCAACACCCAATTTAATTGGAAACAGATGAGGCCCTGGTGAGTACCTAGCCACTGCCAGGAGCAGCGTGTGTGCTGGGCCTCCCAGGCATGCCCATTTCACAGACTCAGAAAACAGAAATCAGAGGGAATATGAAAATTGACCAGAGTCCAACAGTCAAACACAGAGGGGCTGAGATGTGGATCAGGCCTCATGGATTCTGTCCATCCCAACTCTGGTCTCCTCTCCTCCCTTTGCATCCTTGACCACATTCTCCCATAGCCCTTGGCCCAGGATGGGCCTTCCAAATATACACCTACCTGCCCAGACCGACTTTAGTCCCACAAAAGCTGGCAGGTGGCAGAGAGGCCAGAGCCTCCACCTCCATCTCTGGATGGCACCCCATGACCTCAGAGGCAGCCTGGACACTCACTGTCCACCTGACAGAGGCCTTGGCCTGTCATGACTCATTGGCGAGCCTCTCTGGCATCACTTGTGGTATCAGCCATTCCTCGAGAAGCTAGGGACGTGTGCATTTAACCTAGAGAGTAAAGCCGAGGGGTGGGCTCTCCTTTGCAGCCCCCTCCCCCCCGCCCCTCCCCGGGCTTAGCACGGGCCTTAAAGCAAACCCCCTGTGCCTTGGCTGCTTCATTTTGCTGACGCTGCATCTGGGGAAGCCACGGCTCCCAGCACTGCTGGAAGGCAGACAGCCGGGTGGTTTCTGCTGGCGTTTGTCAGATCAGAGCAAACCCGGGAGACTCTACCGAGAATCCTGCCCAAGGCCTAAGAGTCTTCCTTACCAGGAAACTCATTTTTAAAAGTCCCCAGGGACACTGTTGAAGGGCCGTTCCAGACCACTTTCCCTGGCCAAGCCTCGTGTCTCCCTGTGACCCAAGGAGAGGGGACAGCCTGCCAGCCAGGAAGGCGACTTGGATCCCTCAGCTGGGCCCACACAGGGCTTCTGAACCGGCTCTGACCCTATTCGACAAGCTGGCGGCTGGGCCGTGGAGGCAGCCCCGAGCCCTTCAGACAGTCCTCAGGGCTGGACAAGGCCCGTTAGAAACCTCCCCACCCCATCCCCCACCCTCAGCTTCCTGCTCCCTCTGAGGGACGTGAGGAGGAGGGGGTGTGACTGGGGGGTGGGATCTGAGCACAGGAGGAGAGGCCTGGAACTTGTTGAGAGCTTCGTGGGAGACCTGGCCACCCAGCCCTGGCCCAGCCCCCGAGGGCAGCCGAGGACGCCAGGGGCTCTGGGAAGGCAGGGGCTAGTTCTGCTCTGCGCCTTGAGCTCAGCAGCCTGACAGCCCCAGTGATGGCCCCAGAGAGCCCCAGACATGCCTGGGCTGAAGCTGAGCAGTGTTCTGGTTAGCACAGACTCGGGGTACCGCACTGGTCTACCCACATGCCCAGCTGTCTACCCCAAATCCTCCCATCCGTGGCCTGGCACCAAGAATGTCTGGTCAGCTTGGATCTCACAGTAAAAGGCTTCCTCAGAGGACGATTTCTCATGTCCAAGAAGATGCTGCTGCTATCAGAAGTTCACTCTGCATTCTGACCTACATCCCTCCACAAAGGAAGACAAACAACACAGCTTCCCAGTGCCGCCGGCCTCGCCTGAGGGCCGTGGGCCTGCTCCTCAGCACTCCTCACCCTACCCAGGACCTTCCCACACC